TTTTAATTCTTCATGTATGTATATAACAATTTTAGAATGCATTTCGAGTAAGCCAAAGAAAATTGTAGAATAGGAATTTCTGTTTCGCAAATCTTCGTCATCTTAAAATCAATGGCAAGAAATACATTTTCACCATTTAATGCGATTTTTAACTAACTTAAACTTTTAAAATGAAAAAAAAAACGAAAAATATCAAAATTTACCAAATAGCATGCTGCATTTTTTTAAATTTGGCGGCACACTTTTGGCACGCCACAGATATGTTGTATAAGATGCCAACTTTCATTGCCTCTAACATGAATATTCCATTTGAAAACTTCCCAAAGTTATTAAAAAAAATGTTATAATTGGTAATTTTGGTTCTTTTTCGCCTAAGTAAACGCTTTAATACTAAAATTGTTCAAATACTTGTTTGTTTTTTTTTATAGTACTTGTCTGGAACTCCATTGATTGAAATAAATCGAAAAAAATTCTTTGGCGTTTTCTTCTGTCGAGAGTAGGGAGTGACAGTAAAACAAAAACATCCCGAAGTTTGCCCATATACACATGCTAAATAAATGGTTGAACGTGGAAACAAAGTTTCAATACTAAAAATTCCAAATAAAGGAACTTTTTGTACACATAATTAATAAAACAGCTTCAACCTGCACTTCAATTCTGAGCTTTGCTTGTCATTTGCGACAGCTGCCCAGGTATTTCTAAAATAAGATATACAGTATATTTTGCTTTGCTGCCTTTATGCTTAAGTGCACATTTAAGATACCTACCCCAAAATGCGCATCTGAGACATTATTTTTAACATTTATAAGGAAACTGCTCCGATAGATGCATTCAACATACCTGCACATTGGCGATAGCTGCCTTAAAAATTGTGCAACTAGTATCAATTATCAAAGAAAGTATTACGCTTACCTGCACTGGCCTACAATTACTTAATTTACAAGCTTTTATTTATTTTACTCATATCGCAGAACAACGGAAATGGCTATCAATTTTTCTAGTTATATAGATAATAAGATACCATTCGAAAAAAATTTCGCTTGCATTATTTTCTACGTGATAAGTGCTTCTCCATTATTTGGTTTCATAGGGATTCGGATACCTTCCTCATTGAAGTAGTAAAGAAAATTCGCTTAAGTGCCTTTTTCGCTTAGGTGCACAAGTTTTTCGTGCAAAGAAGGATGTGCAGCTAAGCAAAATATACTGTACTTACATATGTATGTTCATATACGCCCTAGGAATCGCAGCAGCTTTGTGTCTAAGAATCAGAACGACTGTCACATTATTTTTAAGGGATGCCCTCAATATTTTCGAATATTTTAAAAATTTTATCTCTGACCCTATCAACTCCAGTTCACTTCAGAATATTGTTTTCAATAAATCTCGCTGCTACGTATTTAAAGATACGCAGTTAAGCTTTTTCTCAATCTGTTTTAAAGCGCGCGCACATTTCGCAATACGATTGAAATGTTTTTGCAATTCCACTTGGCGCTTAAGTTCGCTGCAAGCCAATAAATTTCATTACTCTACACATTGATTGCTTGATTGGCTCACTTATTTACACGTTGTCGAACTAAAGCACGCGAAGTGAGTGCTAATAAAGAGCATGCGAATTAAGATCAAACATATATACATAGATACATACATATACGAATACACTATCGCTGTAAACGGGTGTTCGATAGGTTAACCCTGTAGGGATATGATATGCAAGTAAAAAAAATTATCAGTCTGCGGCAAATGATGGCAGCTCTTCAGTAATCATCTTTTAGTGTTTTAAACTCGAACGGGTTCAAAATGATATTCTAAGACTAGAATTAGTAGGTAATTCATTCACCTTACCTACTTATTAGAGCTGATGCCTTTTAGGGATACAAAAGATCTTTCTTATGAACACGCATTTCCCAGACTGACCGCGGACTCATATTGGTAGCCAGAATTCAGGCGTCATACCATTGAAGTATATTTCCCCAACAGTGGACAGAAGTAGAGCTTAATTTTTTTTCAAAAAAGGGCACAAGTATGGGACGAAACGGATCTAGAGAGACGGATCTGTCAAAATAGCTATTGCATTCCCATAGAAAGGAATTGCCGCTATTTGGAAAAAATATACCGAAAGGGACCTGAGGGATGAAATGGGTATACTCTGTTAATTTGTGGTCGCCGAAAAACGTATGAAACTATCGAATAAAAAACTATGTAAATATACAATGCAATTGTGGCCAGCTTTTTGTTCCAAACACACAAGCAACCAGCTAAGTCGAAGCACTAAATTGGGCACAAAAATAGGTTATAACCCGAGTTAAAGTATAGGATATTTTTTGAAGAGAGTTGCCACCTTTAAAAAACAATTATAATCAATTATTTAATAAGTCCAATAAAATATTACTACGATGTGGGAGTCAAACGAAAGGGGTGCCAAAACGATTTCATTCGAAAATATTTTTAAGGGGTCTGCCACCCGTTAAAAATTTAAGATCGATTAATAAATAACTTAATAAGATATCACAACAATGTAGGTGGCTGACGAAAGTGGCTCAAACACGATATATTTCAAAAATATTATTTTAGAGGGTAGCCACCTGTTCAAAAAGTTAAAATTTTTTTAATTGATAAGCTAAGCGAAAGAATTGAATATAGGTATCAAACGAGAGTGGATTTAATGAAGCTGTACCTATTTCCAAATAATCTTTGACGAGGGTTGCCACCAGCTTAGGAAAATCAATTTAATTGACAAGTTAAATTAAATCGCATTAAAAAATATTGTAAATACGAATGTTTGTGAGATGGCTTACAAAGATAACTTTGGTTTTGAATTGATATATAGCAACTTTTTTTTTGAGAGTGTTGCCACCTGCTTAAAAAGCAAGATTTTATTTCAAAGTCCAACAAAACTTCACAATGTGATTGAGAAACCATAAAAACTTAAAAACCTTATTAGAAAAATATTTTCAGGAGGATTGCCACCTATTTAAAAATATGAATAAAATTTTATAAAAAAAAGGAAGACTTTGTTATTACAATATGGGTGGCTAATGAATGAGGTTTAAGAAATTTTTATTTTGAAAATATTTTGAGAGGGGTTACCACCTGTTTAAAAGACCACTCCTATTTCATAAGTTCAATAAGGGACTACATGTCAATTGAAACAGTTAGTAGGATGTTTTTTTTTGGAAAATATGTTTAATTAGGGTTGTCACCTGTTTGAAAATCAATTTGAATGAAAACAATAAGTTAAATGAGACCTTCAAAGCGATGCCAGCTCAAATAAAATATATTTAAGAAGACTTTTGAAAATATTTTAAAAGGTGTTTAAAGGTGTAATTTAATTTAATCAATTATTTCAGTGAAATATTACAATATGGACGTCATACAAAATATGTTCAAGCCCGTTTTATTTTAAAAGGGTTGCCATCCGCTTAAACTTGAAATTCAGTTTAATTAAATATTACAAAATGGATGTCAGACGATCGAAGAGTGTGTCACCTATTTAAAAAATAAAATTCAATTTAAGGGAACATTTCAAAAATGGAATATCTTTTGTCTTTACAGTACAGACTTTCCACCGTTCCCAAATTGCAATCTGTTTATTCTACTTAAGCTAAATGAAGTACAACAATGAGATATTGAAACAAAAAGTGTTGGTATAGGATTTTTTCTTTTCGGAAACACTTTTTAAAAGAATTGCCACCTATACAAACAATTTAAAAAATTCAGTGTAAATACTACCTACGAAATGTAAGTTTTTTTGACTGAAATGAACTCGAGGCAATACGAAACTTTTAAAAATAAAGTATATTATTTTCGGTGATATTACTCATTTTCTTTTTTGTTAAATTTGAAATCATAACGCTAACTCGAACTCATAAACTATGTCATACACCGTTTGAGAAGTACAGACATATGTAAACATACTCGTAAGTATGCGCTGAGTACGCAAAGCTACTTTAATTGCATACTTCCTGGCGCACTTTTTTATATTCTGTCAGAAATGCAACGACTCTATAATTTCCAATAGGGTATGTATGTATGTAAATCACAAGCTAGTAAAACTTCAGTTTGCAGAGGATTATGCGTGAATGCATTATATACATATGTATGTATGTATGTATGTATGTATTTGCAGTGCCTGTTTGTGAGCAGCAGCAGCAGGTAAACTTCCACAGCCATAGGAAATAAGTGCTATTAATAAAAATTAAAGCAGCGAAAAGTCGAAGCGATTAATTGTAAAAAGATTGCAAAAGTGCGCGCTGTTAATTAAGGTGCCGTTAAAGTGATTGATTTTCCTGATTTCACTAACACTTGAGGGAAATGTGAAAAAAACGATCTACAGTTGGCAAAGCAAGGCAAACGAAGAAATTGTATAATTGCACATACATACATATGTATGTACATGCAATTATCGCTGTTGAGTTACGCATCTTTTGGTCAATGCATCTGAATAAGTGCGAGTACTCATATATATGTATATATGTATGTAGGTATGAGTGTGCATGCCACGCTGGCGTAAATAAGCGCTGACTGAATGAGCACACAGTTAATGGTATATATTAAAAGTTCAATTAAAACGATAAATCCAAATTGGCATGCTGTGCTCATCGTCAACGTCAACGTCGTCAACTTGGCAATACAAGAGGGCTCATTTGTGGTCGTGCAAATAAATATGTTCATACGTATATATTGCCGGACAAACATTTACAAATAGGGCTGGTGAACTTTCATCTTCTTTTCCTGTTTCACTTCACATTTCTTCGACAATAATAATTAAATAAATAAAAAATTGTCGTAATAAATCAAGGGCAACATACATATTTAATACGCGTAGTTACCAAATATGGAATTTCAGCGAGGGAAATATGTGGAAGTAAAAATTTCGCCTACAATTTTCATATTGAGACGCATACAAAGCTTCCTTCCGCTGACTGATTTATTCAATGACTTTTTCTTTTATGTGTAAACATTTACTTAAATTTTATTTCTTTGGTTGTGTTTTTTTTTTTTTTTTGATATTCTCTACTTACGCCGTTGCTCCGCCAATGTACATGCTGCCCTCGAATGGTCCGAATTCCTCCTCGGGCAAGAGATCAACCATTTGATAGTCTGTATTTATCATGAAACGTACGTGATACTCATTGTAGTCAATCCAAATTTTATGCCATTCGCCGCCATTCAACTTGCGATGCGAGTTAATTACCAATTCTCGTGTAGTGCCAGTGCTGAGGGTAAAGTTGAATGTCAACTGATAGTCGCCGGTAAGTGCGACCATGAACGATGGATGATTCGGGCGGATGGGCGGTTGGAAGAGTAGAATGGCCTTTTCGCCGGTGGTGCGGAAGGAGAAGGCAATATCACCTTTGCGCCAGCCCGGCACTTCGATGTACGATTGTGATGTAGTGAAGGTGACGACATACTTTTGTGTGTCTGTGTGCAGGAAATGATGAAAAGAAATTCGAAATTATTGTATGCATGCGAGTGATGTATGTTTGTACGTATGTAGACAAAATTTATATTAAGGCCATAAAAGAAGAGGGCAAAGGATGCTAAGCAGTAAATAAATTATGCAAAAAAATGTGCTAAACATTTATGTGAAAAAAATAAAATAACTGCAGTTATTTTGGAAATTTCTTTAAACTTAATAAATAAAAGCTGGCGCTTTAAAATAACTAACACACTATCACATATAACCACATTACATACATACATATATGCGTATTAGGGTGGTCCTTAAAAAATATTAACATTTAAATTTTGTTTGGAGCATCCCTTAATTTAGTTCTATGTACAAAAATAAATATGTATATGCATACAAATTTTAAAATAAAAAAAATTTATTGGGCTACCAGAGTTTGAGAAAATTAAATTTTTTCAAATTGCGAAAATTCGATGGATTATAGCTGTCAAAGCAGATACCCAGAGAAATCGTGGTGGAGTTTTATAAAAATCATCAAAATTTTCGTAATAGTTATAAAAGTCTATTGATAATAATTATGAGAGACAAAACTTTTTAAAGTCATCGATAACTATTATTTTTAGACTTATATTATAAAAGTATTTTCACTACACTGTGCGACAGCCCAAAACCATTCCAAACCTTATTGTTAACATTTTCTGAAAGTAAGAGTTAACTCGAATTTTTATTTTATGGCCCACTAATATTTTCATGACCCTGTCTAAGTAGTTTTAAAAAAAGTTGAAAAAATGGTTAAAATAAATGTCTTAGTGAAATTAAAGGTTAGGAAATATATAGTAAAATTTCATGAGAAATATTTTCGTACAACATTTTAACCCATTAGCTCCCACCTGAGAATGCCGTTTTGACCCTTACTTCAAGAAATCCCGTAAAAAGCAAATTTGGAAGTTCGTTAGAGGATTGATATATTATAGAAAATTCTTCTTCGGAAAATTTTACAAGGGGTCTTCTCAGGCAAAAACCTGATACCACCATGGTAAAAGTCTATGTAAAATTAAAACAAAAAAATGAAGTGAAAAGGCTTTTATAATAAATTTTTATGTCCCAAAATAACATTAGTTAGTAGCTGACTCGAAAAATGTTTATCTTTGATTAAATTTTAATATATTTTTTTTTAAATAGTTATCTCTCAGGGTCAAAATCAAAATTTTTTCGAATTTTTGCGATTTTTAAAAAATATGATTTGTTTTTAAACACTGATAGTGACCCCTAAAGATTTATTTAAAATTTTCGTGAATGTATTCATTTTATATCACCCTAATGCGCATGCTCGTTATCGTTAATTATCCTTAACAAAATTCACTCACTCGTTTCGACACACTCCAATGGTCCGAGCGTTATGCGTCCCTGTGAATCTTCTTCCAAATCCTTTTGTTGTAGAAAATACATATTCGTTATGCCCAGACTGTGCGGTTCATTGTAGTAGCCTTCATCCGAATACCATTTGTTTTCTTTCACATCACAGTTGCATGATTGATTTGGGTCCACACATGTTTTGTTGATGGAGCAAGGACACGCGCCACTGCCATCCAGCCAAACGATACAATGAATGCGTAAATGGAAATAGGAAAATAACAAATGGTAGAATAAGTAAAACACATTAAATAGAAACAAAGCTCAAAATATGTTTAAGCAATAAATTTGGCCTGAAAAGGGAATCCGCAACAATTGTGCTCTAAATACATTGAAATAAGGGCATAGACAATAAATCATCTTTCTTGTTAGTTTAATTTTTGTAGACATAAATTAAAAAAAGTTTCGTTTTATTGGCATACAAAAAAGTGTTGGAAATAAAAATGCGACATAACGAAAATAATAAAAAGTAAGTTGTAAGTACCCTGGAAGTTAGCAATCGTTCACTATCGCTATTGTGACACAGTAACAGAAATTTCGTGAGACCTCTTTTAGCATACAATGCGGTCGCCAGAAGAAGCCAAAAACATTTGGGGAAACAGCGCCAGAAGCTACGTACGTTAACTCTCTGGTCTTGTTATGAATTTCCGTTCAACACCACTAATACCAATCGGGACAGCCTCAGGTACACGTTTGAGCTTTACAGTGAAAGATTTTCTTCAGTCATAGTCAGGCGACACTCACATCCTTCGAGGTAAAATCCTCAGTAGTTGTGTGAGAATAATGCTTTCCAATCGGTAGGAATACCAGGGCACATGGCAGTCAAAGGAAATGTGGAAGCCGATCAGTTAATTAGAATGGCTGCTGCATCGACACCGATAGGACCTGATCACTTCTTTTCAGTAGGTCCCAACACGATAAAGGAAGCGTTCAGAAAGAAAAATACCAAACTAAGGGCACTGCATTGGCGTAACAACACATGTCTTTGCCAAGCTAAAAGCTGAAAGTTACAGGCTACTCATAGGCCTCTCTAAGGCGAAAACAAAACTCATTACAGACATTTTGACGAGCTATTGTAGGCTGAAGCTCGGAAGCATACCTACGTGTTCATCTCGGCGGGATTAGAACATTGAAAGGTTGCCACCTGTTATAAAAACAACATCCCATTAAGTTTAATACATTACTAAAATATGGATATGAATCGAAATGGTTTTGAAAATGCCAAATTAAAAAAAAAACATGTGGGTGGGTTGCCACCTCTTAAAAAAATGCACCTTTAATTGAGATAATTAACTAGATGAAATATGAATAGCGGTACAGGTGTCGAACCATGGAGCTTTAAAAAGGTTGTCGCTTGAAAATATTTTTAAGAGGGTTGCCACCTGTTTAGAAACATGAGTTAATGATATTTAATAAGTTTAATGAATTATAACAGTACGAGTGTCAACCATAATCGTTTTGAAGAGGCTTCATTACCAAACTACATGAAGGAGGGTAGCCACCTCTTTAAAAAGTAAAATTCAACTTGAACTAAGAAAATTAGGTGATTGAAATACAGAATCAGAAAATCTTCCTTAAAAACGTTGTATGAAATATACACTTTTTTATGCCTTATTGAGACGAAAACGAACAGCAAAGCAAAACAAAATAAGCGGAAGATGCCAGATTATTCATTATTTTTTATTTTTATTTAAAATTAATTTGAAAGACATGTGAATTTTTCTTATTGATAGATTTCGGAACCCACGGGACCCGTGGCAAAATACTGAAAAACGTCGGGATGGGCGGGTTCGGGACTTTAAAAATTAGTTTCGGGATGGGCGGGATCGGCATTGAGTATTTAGTTATTTAATATTGAGCATTTAGTATTTAGTATTTGGAAATGGTTGCCATCTGTTCGAAAATTATTTGATAAGTTAAATGAATTATTGCAATATACATAGATATAAACTGAAATGGTTTTAAAAAGTCTTAATTTCTAAACTACATATTATATCGTTGCTACCTGTTTTAAAAGTAAAATTCAACTTTAATTAAGGGAACTACGTTATTAAAATACATACATACATATGTATCACAATATGGGTGTCAGACGAAAGAAGTTTAAAAAGGTTATAGTGTTCAACTACTTTGAAGAGGGTTGCCACCTGTATAAAGAGATTAATTCAAATTAGTTGATAAGTTTAATTAATTAATACAATATAGGTAACAATAGAGATGATTTTGAAAAGGCTTGATTTCTAAACCAAACGTAAGAGGGTTGCCATCTATTTTGAAATTTTAATTTAAATTGAATTAAGGGAATAAGTTAATTAAAATATGTATGTATGACACCAATTATCAAACAACAGAGATTCAAGAAGGATTATGTGAGAAAATATTTTATTTCAAAGTAATACTTTCAAACGAAAAATTTGAAATTCACTTATTTTTGGTCGAACTTAAAGCAAGGATCACGCGATTTACATTTGTACAGATTTGTACATATTGTCCGTTACAGAGTGAGGTTTTTTGGATATTTTTTTATTGAACTGAACTCAGTCTCGACAAAAATATCCAGAAAACACCGTTCTGTGACTGCCAAAATGAATAAATCTGTACAAATCGTGGAATCGTTGTTTAGGTACATTGCCGGGAAAAGTATTGGCACAGCGAATTTTGCACAATATGTGCACCAATATCTATTTATTATTTTTCCGCAAAATTTTTATAAAAATATGGTTCATTCTACAACAAAAAACATAAAAATATAATTTTTAAACTTTGTGCAAAACTCGCGAAAATTCAATAAATTTTCATGCAAATTTTCAACTTTTTAATCAGATTTTTTCGAATTTTCTTGAGTACGCAGTTTTGTAGCTCATTAAATTCACGAGTTTTGCACTTTTTGCCGGCAGTGTATGTTAAGTTTTATTGAAATAAATTACACAGCTAAGCGGGTGAGGGCGCACCAGTGCAAGTATATAAGTAAGTAAGTACATTAAAAATAGTATCTTGCTATAGTTAGACTAAGCTGTATGAAGCCATGTGTAAAAAGTATCTAAACATTTGTGTTTATAACTAAATAACACGAACATTACGAATTTTCATTGCTAATCTAGTAATTTCCTTATGCAATTTTACAATGTCTGTCAAGTGTCATGTTGTTATTACTGCTATTACTCCTTTACTAAAATCATACATACATATGCACATATGTACCTATTCTCGACACTTTCTACGTAACTCGTCGTTGTTATTGTTATAACAATACTTGCCATTATGCAATATGAGCTGTATGTTTATTACCAGTGCTGATGCTGTTACTGCTTGTCGAGTGAGAGTACACAAATCATTTGTAGTTGGTAACATTGCTGACAGAAATTACTCGTTCTCGTATTCATACAGTGCGGCATGAGATGACCAATAGAGACAAACAAGTAGCACTCTTAGTTACGTGAATGTCAAAGTGTTGGCACTACTTGTGGCATTCATTCTGCTTGCTGAGTTTAGTTACTGTTACGCACATCACACATACGCACATACATATGTACAAACTTAAAACAAATGCAATGTACATACTATAAACGAATGCACTCGAGTATCGTATGCAAGCAAAGCCAAGTCAAACTGTCGCTCAGTGCCTTGCAATTTCCTTCCCGGGCATTTCAGCTTGAGTGACACAAGACGCAAATTGGAGCGCAGTCAGTTTATATTAATAATCAAGTGTTAGTGCTTAAGGTCTGTTTTGTCTATATAGTCTGTGTAGCTGGCTGTCTGTATGTCTGTTTGTCTGTCTGTCTGCCAGCCAGCCTTAGTAGATGTTTGTTTTCCTACGAATGTCAAGTCAACATTAAATTACGATTTATGTTGGATTTGAAATGTTGTGGCAGCAAAGTTTAGCATTTGTCAATACTGTTAGACTGCTCGTACGACTACGAACGTAATATGTAAATTGAAATGTGGGTTAACTGCTGGCCATTTGTTTTCATATGTTTGCGATAATTTAAGTTATACATATGTATCTAAGATGAGATATTTAAGTCTACAGTTGATTTACATAATATCAGAACCAGCGAAGGAACTAAATAGAAATTTGCAGTTGAGGTGAAATGTGTGTGTTACTGAATTTTAGCGACATTTGTTTCGATTGTTTTGTGCGATTGTATTTAAAATTTTCGTACAACAAATTGAGATTGAATTCAGTATTTTGACTAGTAGTCTGCAAAATGGTGTACTGGAAACAATGACAAAACTACTGCAATGTCCTTTCAAGCGAAGTAGCTGATGCTCTGTTCAAAGTGGTTTTTTGACTTTAATTGGAGAGCCGAATTGGACTTGATTTGCGGTAATTAAAGATAGCAGATTTATTATTCAGCTTATTGCCCTGATAACCAGTCTTTCATAGCCTTCGTGTGATGCGCTATACATATGTATATAATTTGATCACTTCTTCTGGCAAAAATTCATTTTTCATACTGTCAAATAATACACTTTTTTTGTCTTTGGTATTTGATAAAGAAAGCTACAAATCAATTAACGGTGTCTTTTCGTTTTGTAAGCAACGACCGACAACTGCTTAGCACAGTGCAGTTCTAGCAAATTTTTTTTTTAGTTTCACTTTTATTTCAACATACTTTCATTAAAAGAAAAATACTGATAAAAATAAAATCTTTCACACAAACAACAAAAAATATAATCGATAATCGCATGAGGCTATTGCCTGAAAATTTTCAAATGCGCTTAGTGGCATTGTGCTACTATGATAGCACGGCCGAGTAATCATAGTCAACTTATGTACAGTAGTCGAACAAATTATAGCCGCACCAAATTTTCACAAGTATTAAAACATTATTTTTGCTGTTATTTAATTTTGGCTAGTTTTTTTTTATAGTTCATTCTTTAAAAACATCCGTATAAATACAAATTTAAAGGCAGTGTCACACGATTGGGTATTTGCCAAAATTTGGTGCAAATCGTATCCGAATTGTGTGAACACCCAAAATATTTTTCTTTATCCCAATCACGAAAATTAGTTTGTTTAAATTTTTTAATAGAACATCGCTGTATTGTGAAACTGTCTTAAAATTTTATGCAATTTAAAAAAAAAATCTAGAAATTAAATTAAAATTAAAATTAATTAAATTAATTAAAATTTCAAGTTTTTTAATTAAATTCTGAGTATGCAGCTTTGTAGCCCATTGAATTCTAGTAGAATAAAGTACGAGTTTCAAATGGCTAAAAATTTCGATTGATTTTTTTAAAAAGTTTGAAATTTGTACGAAAGTTTGTTGAATTTTTTTAATATTGCACAAATTTGGAAACTTGGAAAACGAGATGTTTCACACTGCCCAGGCTGCGGTATCTGGTATCGCCGCTTCCAGTTGACCTTTGTGCGGTTTCAAAAACTGACGCAAGATGCCTGATGAGACTCATCAGTGACACGAAATGATTAAGCAGGGGGGGATAATTGAAAGGTGTCAGAGTGTGGTAACATAATGGGCCTTCTATGAATGGCCTAAGTGTGTTGCTCCAGGCGTCAGCCAATCCTACTTACCTATATACTAAGGAGAGACGCTTTTAGAATGACTTTTTTATGTTGATAAGTCCGAACGTTGAGCCTAAATGTTACCGATAGCTCTAGCGTCTGTAACTACTCGGCTACGGCTGCTTCCAAAAAGTCACCTTGACATAAAAAAGAGATACGAATCAAGTATTCCTCCTAAAGCAGTCTTGCTCTGCTCTGGGTTACTATTTTCAAAGTCAATACAAAGTTACACTTTTTTTTAAATAAGCTTTTTCTATTTCTATCTCGCCAAAGATCATACGGAAAACTCCTTCCTTTTTACTGTCAGGGCCTGATGAAAGTGTCAAACGACACATACCAAATATCAACCTGGCAGGTACCGATGATAAAACCTCATCACGAATGGATTGCTACGAATATCGAGCGACTACCGAAGCTCCCTAATCTTACCGGGTACAATGAAACTCTCTCCGTACAGTTAAATCGCTTTCTCTGTCAGTTATCGATACCAAAAAGGAAAACCTTTAGCCTCAAAATCCCAGAAATGGAAGTTCGGAGCTCCTCACCAAAACATCTCAGATCATGACACCAACGAACCCAGGTGTAAATCCAGGTAGAAAGCTCAACGCCTAGTTCCTCTGATAGAAGTGTAGCAAATCAGGACGCCAGAGGCGCACCCAGGGTGTTTATACTTCTAAATATATATTATCAGCAAATACAGAAAATTTGCTTCAGATAATACGCTCTTTAAAATACATTTATGCAAGTTTTACGTACAGTATGTAATAAATAAATAAAATTTTTAAAGTTTCATAAATTGCATTTTATTTACATAAAATTTACAAAGAACTCAAACATAACTTTGGACCGCGTGAACCGATTCTAATTCTTCTTTTTTTACCAGATAGATGGTAAATTAAGGGTCCTCCCATAATTTGGTTTGGATCCGATCATTAAATCATGAAAAAATTAACGGTACTCCTAAATTTGTATATGAGAATTAAAGTCGGTTTTGCTTTTTTCTTAAAAATTACTTGTTTAATAAATAGTTCTACAAACACACGATGCACTTAACTTTCAAAAGTAATACAAAAGTATACTAAAGAATTTTAATATAAATAAATTAAATAATTCCATGAAATTTTTACGATTTTATATTCATTTTCGTCGATTTCTGGTTTCTAATTTTTTTAATACTTCGAATCATAATAAAAACATAGCAAGGTAGAACCGTTCTCTCAATTTGTCGGCCATGATTTTTTTTTGAAGTTTGCCAACATTTTAAAATCATATAAAAGTGAAAATACATGGTGGAATAATAACCAGGTGTTGTCAGTAGCGACGTGTTTGTTGTAATTTTGACAAGATTGGCATGCTTATTTTCAGTGCTGCCGATCTTAATTTTTATACTACTATTCGTTGGGAAATAGTATCTAAAATATTCCATTTTAGTAATTCGTTTTATCGCAATTTTTAAAGAACTTGGTGTTTTCAGAACGATATTAATATTTAAAATTGATGAATTTGTATAATTTTTGTCCTCAAAATGTAAAAAAATAAATGATATCGTGGTTATCATTGGATAAAGATGTACACAACTAGTTATTTTTAGCAAAAAAACCGACTTCAACTCCCATATAAAAAAAAAATATATATATATATATATCTCATGATCCGCTGATCGGATCTTAACGAGATTAGTATGGGACCACCTCTGAGACACTACCTTTCCGATGCAAAAAGAATTATCGAAATCGGTCCAAAGTTATGCGGTAACATACATAAAAAAAAAAATAAAAAAAAAAAAAAAATAAATAAAAATATTCCGACGAACTGATAACCTCCTCCTTTTTTGGAAGTCGGTTAAAAATCGTAAGGAAAGGCGATTTTTTATATTAAATAACTTTTGTTGCATTGTCATAATATTGAGCTGATACACTCAAATAGAGTCGCTGCATGGTTAAACTAGGAATTCGCTTATATTATCGATGTTTATGTGTTTTAATCAAGGAATGAAACCGATTCAAAATAACGTTCCGGTTTGGGTTTCGGTTTTGCCAAGTGTTTCGGTTTCGGTTTTGGTTTCGTTCTTCAAAATTTATTTCGGTTTTGGTTTCGGTTTCGTTCCGGTTTCGGGTTTTCACAAATTTTGTTGATATTATTTAAATCACAATGTCTTAAACGTTGAGGAAAGAAAATCGAAAATTACAGTTCACTGATAATATCAACACTAGGTTCTTTCCCTAACAATCCGGACCGGATTTGGAAATTAGAGAATAAGAGAAACATTTTCTTTCAAAAATGGCACAAAGTTCAGAAGTACGGAAACGCAAAAACCCACATTTCGTGCCCACAAGTCGAGAAACAGCTGATTCACGTTGTTCTTGTTTTTGTCACTTATACCATGTTCTGACCGACATCGGAAACATGTTTTCGTTGTTAAAACTTTTTTTTCGATTATTTATCGAAGTGGAAGTCATATTTTATCATCTTTAATACGCCATTTCGGATTTATTGTTAATTGCCTGGCCAAAGCAAAATAAGAATGAAAGTTAAAGGTTGTAAATGAAAAGAAAATGAAGGAAAAATGTTTTGGTTGTCGGTCAGAACATGGTATTAAATGCAAACACTTGGAAATTGAATTTTGGTTTCACAAATTTGATTTTAAGCACATAGATTGAAAATACATCAACAGGCCATTCACTTTTCCTTAAAAGCACCAAGTAAATGCAGGCAACATGTAAACACAATACAGCTGATATGCACTTTGACACTTTATCCATTTTTACTCGGAGAAAATTTCGGGCTATTTCGGGCAGGAAGAAGAATACACTTACGATCGAATACGCTCGAATTTTCGCTCTCTATTACCCATTTTGTTGAGTACAGGCATGATTTCTGGGCTATTTTGGGCACACGCGGGATCTCGCATTGCGTACGGGAAAGAAACTACTTAAATATAATTAATCGATTATCGATTCACAACAACAAAGTCATCAGCAGATTTTTACGAAAAGTTACCTTGATATACTTATTTACTACTTAACAAGAATTTTAGCAAAATGTTGCTGATTTTGGTTAAATAAATCATTTATTTCAAAGAAATTTTTATTTATTATTTTTGTAAATTTCTGGAAACCGATTGAAACCTGTGATTGAAATGGTTTCGGTATCGTTCCTTTTCAGGTCAAGATAACGGTTACGGTTTCGGTTTCGGTTTTGAAAAACGAAACGGTTTTAAACGGTTACGGATTCGGTTTGGGTTTCGGTTTCATTCCTTGGTTTTAATCTATTTAAACATTAACAGTCTTATGGGAAACGACCTTTACTTTTTTAAAGATACAATATATGTCCAAGCTGTGTGGAGCTGCCGATACAAACATATATTCAGGCTTATATAAGCCTCAATTATACATTTTTCTACATTTAATTTGAAATAGTATGCACCAACGGATTAATAGTAGTAAATAATTAGTACCTTTTCTACTACTTTAAAACACGTGACCGGAATAGACCTGCCGAAAAAGTGAGGTTAAGTTACTGACAACACCTTGTTATTATTCCACCATGTGAAAATAAAAAATTGAAATTGTTCGAAATTGTTGTTGCTTGAGATTGAAACTGAAAATGTGTGTGTGAGTTTGTGAGTAAATTTAAAAATTAAATTGTTTGGAAACGTCAAGAATTTTAAAAGTGACTCTCAGCGGTTCTACCTTACTATATTTTTATCATGCTTCGAATAGCGAAAATTTAACTAAACTTGTATTTTTATCATGTAGCTCATTTTGGTGGAACGAATTCGAAGTTAGCAAATTAAATCTTCGAATACTTGTTAAGTACATATCAGTGGTAAACTTTTTTAGGCTGTAAAGTGTAAAAAGCAACAGTAAATGGGTATGCATTGCATATTTTTAGGACAATGTTTTCATTCGCAGTTAAACTTTAAAGAACTCTCAAGGAAAAAGAAAAAATCTTACAAAATGACGCACAAGAAATGCAAAAGAAATTTTCTTCTATAAAAATTTCTTAAATCATAATAAATTTAACCCCAAAACCCACCCCTTGTGTGCGCTACATGACAAATTTGGTATGTAAAAGTAAACAGAGTGTTTAATTTTGCACACACAAGGAGAGGAGACTGGTTAATTTTAAAGATTTTATGTATAAACTGTGAAATTGTGAACAATAAATGTTTAGAACTCAAAAAACAAAATTGAAATTTGTTCTACGCCACACATATAATAAGTAAAAGTAAGCATGCAGTGTTTAATTTAATAAACATGGTGTGTAAATTTGCATTTATTAAGAGAGGAAACTGGTTACCTATCTTAATATGCGCAAATTTAAACAACAATTTTTTAGAGTGTAGTACAAACTTTTGAGATCATTAAGCAAAACATAATACTAATAAGCCACTCACCGTTTTGCGTTGCCCAAAAAATCTACGGTTAAATTCTTTGCCGACGAAGTAAACCAAGTGGCCGAGTGCAGCTCCAGCTGTGCCTTGTAGCAATCGTACTTGATATATTGCGTACAGTACAAAGAATGTGAGATCAGCTCCTGCAGCATGTCTGGTGAAAATTCACGGTAACGTATATTGAAGCTGAAGTCATTGTCACGCGCAGAACGCACATCCACTTGACTGGGTAAATTATGTTCCACAATCGTTTTGGTAGCATTCTCCAAGCTCTGAAAATCACACTTTACATGCGCTGGCGGAAATACGCCATTGCCATCAATATCGATAAGATACACATCCGATTTGGTGTAGCCCAGCAGCGCCAGCTCTTCGCACGTCTTGCGATACTTGGTGAAGTGACAATTCTTGCCGATATATCCAGTCTGTTTGCAATCGCATGTGACACGATCGTCTTTCACGAAGCATTTACCGCCATGCTCGCAGGTGTTCGGCCGCTTGCAGGGATCTATATAATTACAGTTATCCAGCGCAACCTCGCCCACCACACGTTCCGTTTTCACGACATGCCGTGGCTCAATCAAATGCCCATTGATCTCGATGTCGCGTATACAGCCGACAAGACCAGAAGCGGCCGACTTGAGACTGCTGCCAATAATCAATTTATCGCCGATATTGAAAGTCAAACCGAACATTTGACTCTGCGTCAGATGATAGTCAACGGTGAATGTGATTTCGCCCGCTTTGTAGTCCAGTTCGACGGAATGCCAGGAGGTGGCTCTATTGATTTTGATGGCCGTTGAATGTGTGAGATTGCTGCCCAAATCGGGTACTAGATCAAAACTCAGCTTGTCCGAAGCGAGGCGTATCTGTGTAAGCGCAAACATAGTAAATTTTTGTAAAGAAGGCGTCAGTGTTGGAGCGTTGCGGTGACGGTGCATTGCGTGTTGTACCACAACGAGCGATTCGAACACAGTTGGTGGCCGTGATGGTGGTGGCGGTGGTTTGCGGTATTGTGTTTTTCAATTTTGTGTATTTCAATTTCCGCAACAGTAGTTGAGGGCGTGACGGGGTGGTCGGGTGTTGGCGGATATTTAGTTTGGCGTTTCCGTTGCCATTATCATCGTTTGGTAGCATTTCCGCGTGAACGGATGTTGAAAGTTTAGTTGTGCGTTGGCGCGTTGTAGTAGGTGGTGGTTTGGGAAAGATGGACAACATGAAATGGAAGTGGAAAATTATATTAGTTTTTTACTCTAAAACAAGATAACTCTTATTTATATTGTATAGCAGACATTTATATGTTTTACGCACATACATACATACATACTTATTTAAACTATGGTAAATATTTGCTTGCGGTCGACTTTTCATTATAAATTTTGGATATTTGGATTAGTTGTTGGTTTTAATTTAAATGCTTTGGTGAAAGTAGTTTGCAAAATGAAATAAGTTTAAACACTCCCACTCAGTGAAATTACGAAAAATTTATTATTTTAATAAGTAGAAACTTTTTTCAGTCCATTTTCAGATTACACATATTCCATCCGAAATCAAAAAGTGCCATAATTCAAAATATTTAAATTTTTGATTTTTGAGTCGTGACTATTTTTGATTAAGGGCGCGATATGTATATTGCAAAATACGAGTAAGTAGATGAGGTATTTCTTCTAAAGTGGCTTATCGGTATTGTGACATGTTTCAAAGGTATTGCTTTACTGAGGAAGCTGCAATAATTAGTTTTACAGCCCTACCGCAAATGGCTTAAGATCTGGATTCTCTTGCAACGCAGCTTTAAGCACACTCGACAAATTTTGAAAACTTTGACTTTGTACTAGGGTTACGATCAGGGTTGCCATTTTGGTAAATTGTTACCAAAATTGGTAGACAAAATTTGTGGTGCTAAAAAGTTAAATTTTTTTTCATTTTGATTTTTTTTATTGAAGTATTTTGTTTGAAAAACAATTAGAATTTAAATTTAGAGCCCGCTTTATTTTTCGTAGTTAATAAAAGGCGAAAGTATCGTGCTCCACTTAAAACTCATTTTATTTGAATCCTGAGGAGCTTTTGATTGCCTAAATATTTTTTTATGATTCTTTAAATAAAAGGAAAATATGAACTGGTATGTAATTACACGCTATGATTGTTGGCAAAAAAAAAATCAAAAATCAGCCTAATTTTTTATCAATGGAAATTGTTAAATGAAACAAAAAAGGGCAAAAGACCGACAAAAAAAATAATAAAAAAAAACAAACGGGAATTTTTTGCTGTACATTGTTGGTTATACTAAAATTCCATGGGCTATATAATTCCATACCTTAAATTTTTTTTAAAATTCAGAGTAAACAGCTCGAAATTTAGGCGAAAATTTTTTTAATTTTTCTGAGTGTTGTATATAGCTCGAATCCTTGATTCTATATGGGTTTGTGGGTTTGGTTAAAGCGCAAACAATATTCTTATACAAAAAAAAAATAAAAAAATACCAAACAATTTTTACTTAAAAAACATTGTGAATATTAAACATATCACCAAGCGGTTTTTTGAGTCACTGTATTTGTCTATAATAACTCCATTTGAAGCTTTTTTAAATGATGAAGTTTCGTTGTTGCCTTTAGTTTCGCGTTTGGTTGAAGGAAACCGAGAAGATGCCATTAATATAATCTCAAACACCATATCATTATTTAAATAAACAGGTAATTAAAAACAATTTTAATTTTTATTCAAATAACTGAAAAACTAGAACAAAATGACAGTTTTTATTGGAAGATATTTTCTACATTTGGTAGATTTTTTTCAAGAGGATGGTAAGTATTTTTTTTGTCAGTGGCAACCCTGGTTACGACTATCATTACATTCGGTCCCGATATCCGTTTAGATATACGTGTATTTGAAAAAACACTGGATATTCGATTAATATCCCTTCCCTTTTGTTAACCGCAATAGTTTTCCTATCTATATCTCCGCTTAGGTTAGGTTATTCTAGCTGGCTGAGCATCCCACATAGACCAATAAGTCCCTAGTAATGCCACATGGAGATAGAGGTTAAGTTAAGTATACCGACGTACACATCATTTAGGGTGTCAATGTTTTTTGAGAATGTCAGAAGTGCTTGAGGCCCAAGTGTCGTCACGTCTTCAAGATTATTCAACGTCTGAGGTCCAAGATATTTCAATCGTATTTTTGATACCGCAGGACAATGGGTCCTGCTTTTTTACTCTCGGGTCTATTTCGTTATAAAAATTTTGTAGAGGTTTTGGAATGTTATTCTCTGGATCTAGAACCAATCGGATTCCGCTTTTACAAATTTCGTTCGTCCCTAGTGGTCGGGAATCCAATAACTATGCAATCGCCTGTTTGCTGCTGCCCTTTTTATGGCCCCCTGCTTTTAGGGGTATTTTGTGACATAAATCGGTATGAGCTAATAGCCTTAACCGCTGTTTGACTATCTACGTATATGTTAACTTTAGAGTTGTTTCCAGTCATTGAGTAGGCTAGCTCAGCGGATTTTCTCACTGCGAAAACTTCTAATATACTGAATTGATCCGGCAGCTTAATGGGCTAACGAAAACCAAGTTCTCAGCAGCACGCTCCTACCACATAATTCCTTTCTGAGCCGTCTGTGAAAAAGTTAAATGTCTTCCGGCTTGGCTTTATGTCTCTACGCCATCCGTTTTCTTCGATAGTAACCCGAAACCACCCTATCCCAGTTATAGCAAGGTGCAATGAAAGTTTGTTGCGACTACATGTTCTTTGGCTATTGAGCTGTGACCAGCGTTTCTTTGCTTGAACTCCCCACCTATAATACCCAACATCTTTTTGCATTCTGGCAGTTCAGATATCCTAGGCACATGAACGGGTCACGGATTTATTAACACGAAGTCTTGATCGCGGAGGAGACGGCAGGGAATATTGTTCTTTATCTTCTGCGGCAATCAGGCAGACATCAAATGTTTACATTCACATTGCCTTACTGAATGCCGTATTGGATCGAATTAATATGGGTGCTTGGAGCCCTGGGTATAGGAAAGATACGACGACATTATTCCAAGAAAGATACATATATCAATGGCGCCATTGGGCCGATATTTGAGATATTTTACGGCTCATTAAGCCAATAAGCGAGAATTATTTGCTCTCATAGAAAACACACTTCCGTTTTCTTGAGTTTATTTATAAGGACTTTTATTGGCTTACATGACATACGACCACAGGTTGACGCAATGGACCAGTCTTGAAATTCTTGCAGAGACTATTGGCAAAGCTCATAATGGGGAAAGAGATTACAATTACATCTGATATGACAGCGCTATTATTCTTGGAATATGTGTGGCAACTATAGATAGGACTCCAGATACTGGAGGCATATTCAAGCTTTGAACGACCAAGAGTTAAATATAGTTTTCCTAGTATAGGGATCCTTCGCATACCTTCGCGGAAAAGCTAGGTTCTTGTATACCTTCGGAAGAATATAGCATGTGTGATTAACCAAGGTGAAGCCAGAGTCAAAAACGACACCAAGATCAAAAAATTAACAACAGAAGAGAGTTGGAGAATTTTTTTTTTGAGGGATAGAAAATTGTTTGGAACCATACTTCGATATTAAACAGATCTTCTTGAAGTATACGCGAATCAGTGACACAATTGATTTTACGAAACAGTTTCAAATCATCGGCATACAACAAGTAATCAGAATTATAGGAACAGGACCCGACACTACCTTGGGGCACCCCAATGTAACGGCAGAATTTCAAACAAAAAGGGTTCTACTTGATAGATATAACTTTAACCCATTTAAGAAAACCGAATGCAAACCAAATTGAATGTGATAACTTTTCAAACGCCTTGGAAAAATCTGTATAGAACGCTTCTGAACGCAGACACACAGAATTCCGAAAAACAGCGAGGTTCGTTACTGTAGAACGACCACCCTAAAACCCATGCTGACAGGAATTACGATACTTTTGGCGGCAAAAGAGTGTTTCCGAATTACCGCCCTCTCAAAGAGCTTGGAGCAAGCAGTTAATTTAGAAACAGATCTTTAATTAGAAACATTATTCCTACGTCCTTACATGAAGATGGGCATGATGGACGCTACTTTCCAAAAAACTCAGCGAAAAATTTTACAGTATCACTAAGCGACTCAGAACTCTTACCATTATAGTACATACAGGATGGTATATTAGAATAGCTCGATTTAGAATAGATGAAGCCCCAGAAGGTTTTAGGATTTTCCTTCAAATCAGAATCAAATTTACTAACACTTACTTGTTCTAAAGAAAGTTATTCAAAATGTTAAATTGTGTCTTTTATGTAGTCTATAATACTTATACGTTTACAGTTACGCGATTCAAAGAAGTACACAACTGACAACAGTATTTACGTATTTACCACAAAGGCTGTGCAGTTGTAACGTATGTATTGTATATTTAATTTACCTATGTACATATACATATTGACATACATAAGTACCTATTTAGGTAGAATAGCCTGTTGTACAAACAATATTGTATCTGTACATACGTATGTGTGTTGCGTAAAACAATTGACATTTCGTTAGAGGACAATCACTAGAGAGGAGTGTGAATACGTGCTGAGTAGGGAGTTTCTCACGCATTATGAATACCACATATTTTAACAAAGGTGGCAGAGAGGTGGTTTTCCAAAGTGATTAGCTGACAAGTTACCTACTCTCTTAACGCTCTGTTCAAAGCTGTTATGCACATATGCATGTATATTTACATAGAATCTCACCTAAGTACAGGTATAAATAACTCATAAAGCCGTATTCACAGCTATAAAAGCTCAAAAATTTGAGTGAAACAACATCATTCCACTCAAAACACCACTGTCAAACAGATCAAAGGTTTAGTAG